ACAGGTTTGAGGACTTGAACATCAATGAGAGAAGACCAGATGAGTTGTGGGAGGATATTAAGAGTATCATCCAGGAAGAGTGCAAAAGGTCATTACAAAGACAAAGGAGGAAGACCAAAATGGATATCAGAAGAGACTCTGAGTATTGCACTAGAACACTGAAAAGCCAAAGGATAGGGAAGAATTCAAGATACTAACAAGCTGAACAGAAGATTTTAAAAGGTAGCACAGGAAGAAAAAGTAAAATATTACAATGAAATGTACAAGGAGCTGGAGTCAGAAAATCCAAAGGGCCAAACTTGCTCAGCATTTCTTAAGCTCAAGGAACTGAAGAACAAATTCAAACCTCAAGTTGCTATACTTAAAGATGCTTTGGGCAGAATATTAAATGATCCAGAAAGTATTAAAAGAAGATGGAAAGAGTATACAGAGTCACTGTACCGAAAGGAATTGGCAGACACAGAAGAATTTCATGAAACAACATATGAGCAAGAGCCTATGGTGATGAAGGAAGAAGTTCAAGCTGCTTTGAAGGAATTGGCAAAAAAATTAGGCCTCAGGAATAGATGGCATACCAACTGACATATTTCAACTAGTAGATGCTACCCTAGATGAGCTCACCAAGTTGTGCCAAGAAATCTAGAGGACAACCACTTGGCCAATTGACTGGACGAGATCTATATTTGTTCCTATTCCAACAGAAGGTAACACCCAACAGATATCCCTTTTAAACAGTTTTCTCCCCCATCTGTTTAATGCAGTATACATTATTTATCCCATCTTTCTCAGTCTCCCCCCAACCCTAATGTCAGTACTGTTTTACAACAGTGGCACTGTGCAGTATTTGTCCTTTTTTGACTGAGATATTTCACTCAGCATAATGTCCTCCAGGGCCACCCATTTTGAATAATATTGCATGAGTTCCTTGTTTTTTAATGTAGTGTAGTATTCCATTGTGTGAGTATACCACAGCTTCTCTATCCATTCGTTTGTTAGTGGGCACTTAGGGTGTTTTCAACTCCTTGCTATTGTGAACAAAGCCATGATAAACATGGGTGTGCATATATCTGCTTGGGTGGCAGTTAAGGTCTCTTTGTGGTATATTCTCAGTAGTGGAATTGCTGGGTCAAATGGTATCTCTATTTGCAATTTTTTGAGAAAGCGCCACACCACCTTCCACCTTGCACCATTTTATACTCCCACCAACAGTGAATAAGGGTTCCAATTTCTTCACAACCTAGCCAGCATTTTTTGCTTGCTGTTCTGTTAAATTTTGCTATTCTTACTAGGGTAAGATGATATCTCGTTGTTTTGGGTGCAGCTTTTATATAAAGATACTGCTCTTTCTCTGAGGATGGAAATAAGCAAGTTCCTACCCTCTGCTCCCCTTTCCAATGTGAATGCTCCCCTTTCCAATGTGAAAATTCAAAATGGTTTTATTGAGCTCAGGAATCTCCTCACAGGGCTCAAAATGGCACTCTCCTGCTTATTGTGGAGAAAGGGAATTGTTCCTGTGGGACCTTCAGCTTCCTTTCTTTGTAGATGGAAGTTCACTGGGATGGTCATCTGCTAGCAGTCGGGAGCTGAGGTCCTGCTGACTTCTCTGAGGAAGTTGCTGAAATGTCAGTAGGATTCTTTTTCTCCCCCCCCTCCCCTTCTAATTTTGTGGAATCTGAGCCCTTCGTGACTTGTTTTATGGTCTTGGTTTCCAGGTTCACACTTGAGCCTAGTAGTAAGAAGCTGCACTGCATTCCCAAAGCCACACAGCTTGAATCCACCAATTGCTTCAGGTGAAGAATGGATAATCTCCTCTCATGACATTTACTGCCTCTGATAACCCACTGGAGATTCAGCTATAGATCAGTTCCAAGTCAATGGCACACAACTCATGCCTTCACTTTCTTTTGTGCCCGCCTTTACACTCAGTAATTTCCCCTTAACTTCAGGATGCTTGAATTGTCTGTCGTCAGGCTGCTTTGTATATTTTTTATGACCCTACAGGAGATTGATTTCTTCCATTAGCTTTGGCTTCTCAGCACTCTAATGCAATATTCAGAGTCTCATCTGGCATCTATCTTGGTCTTTTCTTCCTCTTCTGCCTTTGTAATGATCTTTTGCATTCTTCATGGACAATATTCTTGATATCCTCTCACAGCTAATTTGGTCTTCACTTTGGTGTTCAAGGCCTCAACCCTGTTTCTGAGATGGTTTTGAAATTCAAGTTGGATAGACTTAAGGTAAAATTTTGGTTCCTGTGGAGAGGCAGGTTTGCTGGTCTGGTTAATTTGCCCATCATTTGATTTCTTGATTGCTATAACCATAAGTGTTGATTGTGGATCCAGGTAAAATTAAATTGTTGGCAATTTCAGTCATTTCTCCATCTGCCAAGACGTTGTGTATTGGTCCAATGGTAAGAAATTTTGTTTTCTTGATGTGGACATGTAATCTATATGGAAGACTGTAGTCTTTGATCTTCTGTAGCAAGTGTTCCAATTACTCTTCACGTTCATCTGCATAATATTGGTTGTTGATGAGTCTTCCTCCAATCTTGATTCTTCTTGATATAGTCTAGATTCTCAGATGATTTGCTTAGCACATACATTGAACAGGTATGGAGAAACCTAATGCACATCTTTTGTGATTTTAAACCATGCATTGTTCTGTTGGACCACTGCTTCTTGGTGTAGATGTAGGCCTCACATGAGCAAAATTAAGTGTTCTAGTATTCCAGTTCTCCTCAGTGTTAACCATAATATGTTATGTTCCACACAGGCACATGTCTTTGCAAAATCAGTAGAGCACCATTTTGCACCCCTCTCTTATTTTCTGCTTTCAGCAAAGACCCGTCTGACATCAGCAGTGCAACAGCCCCCTTGCCACAGCCTCTTCTGAATCAAACTCTAATTTAGGACAGTTTTCTGTCAATATATAGCTGGTTTTTAATAATCTTCAGCAAGATTTTACTTGAATGTGATATTAGTGATACTGTTCTGTTATTTCCACATTCTGTTGGATTACCTTTCTTAGGAATGGGAACAAATATGGATCTCTTCCAATTAGTTGGCCCAGTAGCTGTCTTCCAAATTTCTTGACATAATGCAATGAACATGTCCAAGGCTGCATCTATTTGTTGGAGCATGTCAGTGATACTCCATCAGTCCTTGGGCCTTAGTTTTTGCTAATGCCTTCAGTGCAGTTGAACTTTGTTACCTTCATTACCTTTGTTACCTTCATTGGTTCTTGGTCATATGCTACTTCTTGAAAGTATCTACTAATTATTTTTGCTACAGTAACTATGTGTTTCTTCCTCTTGCTGCTTCCTGCATCATTCAAGATTTTGCTTATAGAATCCTTCTATATTGCTACTAAGGGCTAGAATTTGTTCTCCAGTTCTTGTACCCTGAGAAATACTGAAAATGTTTTTCTCTTGATTTTCTAACTCTAGCTCTTTGCACGTTTTGTTACTTGTCACCATGTTGTTGTTATGTGTCGTTGAGTCACATATAGCATTCATAGTGACCCTAAGTAAAACAGCTCTACGCCCTGCTCTATCCTGTGCCAATCTCTTTATCTCTGACCCACCTACTCCCATTACCCCAGTCACTGAATCAACCCATCTCATTGAGGCTCTTCCTCTCCTGCACTGTCCTTCCACCCTCCCAAGGATGACGTCTCTCTCCAAGAACTGGTCCCTCCTTGCAGCATGTCTAAAGTATGTCAGATGAAGCTTCAGAATCCTTGCCTCCAAGGAACAGCCCAGCTTCACCGTCTCCATTTTATTCCCTGTTCATTTTATTAGCAGTCCATGGTATATGCAATACTCTTCTCCAACACCACAGCTCAAAGGCATCAATTCTCCCTCTATCATCCCTAGTTGTTGTCCACCTTTCTGACACATAGCAAGTAATTACAAAGATCATGAATCTTTGAATCTTGATAAAACTCTTCAGAAGTATGTCCATCTAATGTCATTTTATTGATGAGGAAATTGAAGCCCAAGGTAATTTGAAAGTAGAAAAGCTACCATTTATCAGGCTCACCTAATTCCGAAGTCTTTATGTTTTGCTAAATTGCAATAATTCATCATCTATTCATTTTTGCATGCTAGGATTTATGCGAAAGACTTGACTTCCGCATCCTATTTAATTCTTACACCAAATATATGAGGTGTAGGCATCGTTCTTAAGGATAATCCTTAAGTAAGTACAGATAGTTCACTAAAAATGTCATCCTTTGTCCTTCTTCATTGTCACTAATCTTGGAATCCTTATACTGTTACCTTGAAAACATGTTGCTAGAATCTACAAATCTTTTGTATGAAAATTTTTTCTAGAGTTTTTAAGAAGATTAAATTTCTTGGAATAATAATCATGTTGTAAATCTGCAGCCATATTTGTATAAATTTTTTTTCTTCTTAAGCTTTATTTTTTTAAATAATTTTAATGAGCATTTACAGAGATTCTGGATTTTCATTCATTCATTGCTGCACTTCCCTCCCTGCCCAGCTTCCCCCCCCCCCCCACACACACACACTCCAGGCATACACATGCACACATACCATCACCCTCCCACTCACACAAAAACTCACACACACAATACCTCCACCCACCCACATGAACTCCTAGTACACACACACGTTCATTCATTCATACACACCAGAGAGACACACATAGAGCATAT